TAAGCAATCTTGCCTACACAATAAAACTTCCATAAAATCCTCTAGACAATGGGGGTTGGAGAGCTTCCCAAATGGTGAACACATCCCCATGCTGGGAGAACAATGTACCCCAGCTCCATGGGACAGAGGCTTCTGTGATCAGGACCCTCCCAGAACTCACCCAGTGTACCTCTTCATCTGGCTGCCCATTTTTATACTTTATGATATATAAGGCTTAAACGTTTCCCTGAAAAAAGCATTTGTTGGAAACTGAATCCACGAAGCAACAGTGCTAAGTGGTGGGACCTCTGAGAGATGACTGGGCCATGCAGGCTCTGCCCTCATAAATGCCAATCACAAAAAGGCCTGAGGCTGAGAGTTGAACCTCTTGTTCTCTCTCGCTCTTGCCATCTCTTGCCCTTCTGCTTTCCACCACAAATGACACAGAAAGAAGGCCCTTGCCATATAGAGCCCTTCGATCTAGGTCTTCCCAGCCGGGACAACAATAAAGCAAGTTTCTGTTTATTATAACTTTCCCGTCTCAGGTATTCTGTCATAGCAGCACAAAATAGACTGAGATAATAATTAACTGCAATAGCGAGTTCAGCACTCTCCTGACATCTGTAAGTTGGTTTAACTAATTATCAGACCTGGGAAGGCCAGGAACTCCTGACTTTGCAGCCAAGTAAGACTGAAGTGCTCATAAGCTAGGGACCTGGTATCTGAATTGTATCAGAAATGAGGACAGTCTTGTGGGTTTGAGGCCTTAGCCCTGTGGAGTCTGAGGTTAACTCCTGGTCGTTTGTGCCAGAATTGAGTTGAATTGTAGGATTCCCTGTTGCTGTCAGAGAATTAGAAAATTATTTTGGCAAAGGAAAAACTTTCTGTCATCTGTGATGTGGGCTTCCATAAAAACCCAAGAGGACTGGGTTTGGAGAGATTTGGGATAGGTAAACACAGGGAGATTCCCGGAAGGTGGTGCCCAGGGGGGCCATGGAAGCTCCATGCCCCTTCCCCTAGACCTTACCCTAAGCATCTCTTCAGCCGTATCCTTTGCAATATATTTTAAAACAAACTGGTAGATGTGTTTCCCTGAGCTCTGTAAGCTGCCCCACCAAATGAACCTAACTAAAAAAGGGAGTTGTGGGAGCCCCAACTTGAAGCTAGTTTGTCAGAAGTTCTGGGGGCTGGACTTGTAACTGGTATCTGGGGAGGGGGGTGGTCTTGGGGGACTGAGCCCTCAACCTGTGGGAGATGACACTATATCCAGGTAGATAGTGTTGGAATTGGATTGAAAGCTGGTATCTGCTGCTTGTGTTGGGGAGGAACCTACACATTTGGTCACAGAAGTCTTCTTCTATGTTAATTATTGTGGTGGTGGTGTGAGAGCAGAGGAAAAATATCATTTGAGAGAGTTTTTCCCAAAACACTATTCCACAAAGAGAAATCAGAGAAAATTAAGTTGTACCTTCCCCATCCCAAAGTAAAACAAAATGTAAGCATTTATATCATGTCCCTATGTAAAAAATATATATATATCTGTATATATATTTATATATATATATATACATATATATTTTCTAACAGCTGTTCATGATCTATACTTTGACTGGCACTACATGTAGACTAGAAACTAGAAATTTTTTTCTTTTTGAGGAGGTCACATAAAAGTTGATAAATGTTAGAGATTTTCTCCCCCAAATTATTTCCATGTGCAAGGAAATATAAATATTAATACAAAACATCCGTACCCACACAGATCCTCTGGGATCTTATAAACCTGTGCATTATTTCTAGAAGAGACAAAGTCAAGGACAAAATGTTTTGAGTAATCATTTCACCATCCCACAATGCCACATCAGTGATGAACAGGTATAGAAAAAAGCTGGATTTAATAACACACTCTCAACTGAATGGGCAGAAAGATGTCATTTATTAGTCACTTGATCATCCACCTAAACCAAGTACCTACCAAGAATGAGATAAAGTTCTCATCTCAAGTTACTACTCCAAAAATTAAAATGTCATTCTTTTCCGCCCCTTTCCCTCCAGCACCTGGACCCACTTATTATGTCAGAATTCCACGCTTATAATCTCATTAAGAGACAGAAACCATTTCTGTCCATAGGTGAAGACAACCCTGTAATCACCCTTGCAATTGTACATGGATATGAGGCTTAAGATCCACCAGTTAAATAACTACCTGCTGGACTGTGACCAGACAAGGTAGCACAGAGGCTGGGACTGTGCAGATGCATTTTGGTAAAGATGGTTGAGGGGAAGGAGTGACGTTCACTTTCCAAGAGAAGCAGGGCCAGAGCCCAAGTCCAGGGTCCAACAACAGGGCTTCATAGGTGTGAGCAGTAGCATCTGTGTCCAGCAGAGGGGGCAGTGGTGCCTACCAGGGACCCAACCTAGGGTGGACTGTGGATTCTGTTCTCTGCAATGCAGTCTCAAGCATGGTTTTGTGGTCTTCCTCACAATAAAATTAGCACTCAGGACCATATACAGTGTTTTATGTGTCAATTAGAAAAATCTGGCTTCCACAGTTTGCTTCAAGAAGTGAGTAAGAAATCAGTCCGGGGAATGTTTTGGGTACCAGCATTCAAAGACATTGTTTGTACAGAGCTAAAGCCACTTCCTAAATCTTCCACCTGGTGGAATGATGTGGATTCTCAACATAACGTCATTAATTGATGAGATATGCCCTATTTTTCTGAGGAAAAACTCTTAAACAGGGTTTGAAAACCCACCCTGGGCACTCCTTTGTCACTGACCTCAGTGGTTCCCAATCAAGCTGAGCACTAGGATTGCTGAGGCTGAGAAAGTGCTCAGGCCTCTCCCAAGAATCCTGTCTCAGTTTATAACACACAAGGCCAAGAAATACTTATTTAATAAGCCCTACAGGTGAGGCTGATGCACAGACACGTAGGATCCTGGCCCGTGTTCTTGTTACTAGAAGTATGACCTGGAGACCAGTAGCGGGAGCTCCAACCTGGTCATAAATACGGATCCCTACACTCCTCTCCAGACTTCCTGTATCTCAGCACCATGTTCCAGTGACTCCTGCACACAGGAAAGTCTGGGACTCCCTGGTCTATTTGCCTTCTAAATGTGGTGTCAGAACTTTGCTGCCTGCTCTGGGTTTGCGGCCTGATCAGATCCCTTAGCACTGGAAGTCCAGAGTTCGGTCCTTGTTCCCCTTCTCTTCTGTATCCAATCACTCCATCAGTGACCTCATCCATGTTTGAAACTTTAATTATCACTTAGATGGTCCCAGTCATTTCTCCTAAACTCCAAACTTGTTGTTCACCTGCCACCCCAGCTCCCTCTGCATTTCTAGTAGACATCTCCTCCACTTCAGCTACTGTCTGTCCAGCCCTCCTGGCTTCCTCACTGTTCCTGCCCTGGTCATTTGCACTGGAGGGTCCCTCTACCTGGAAAAAGCATCCACAGACATCCTCATGTATAATTCCTCATGTCCTACAAATCATTCCTCAAAGGTCTCCTTTGCCACAAGGCCCACGCTTGTGGGGAACAACAGTATCTTCCGTGTCCCCACATACTGACACTCTGGGTTGCCAGCCCACAGAACTTACCACCTTTGAACACAAACACTTTCCTTATTTAATCTGCTTAGAGTATATCTATCATCTGTCTCTTCCCTCTAGACCAAATGCTCAAGACCAACAACTTTTCTGTTGTTAATGATGTTTCTCAGATGCAAAAACAGTCTATCATTTAACTGGCAACAACAAATATCTACTAGAAGAATGATCATGAAAACACACTATCTTTGTTAACGTAGCCTTAGTTCAAGGGCTGTTTTATGAAACCTACAGCACAATGTCCTCTTACACGGACATCAATGTCACCTGTGCATTTCTCACCAGTGCTGTTGTGTGTCCCCTCCCTCCACGCATTCTGCCACACCAACCCTCCTGCACACAGCAACTCACAATTCATTTCTTTGTGAAAAGAACAATCCTTGACTATGGGTCCAATATCCCAAACAAATAGAAATCTAAATGAGACTTTGCTTTATAAATTCATGTGTTTAGAATGAAGTCAGCACTGGGTTTGCTAGAACTAAAGGTAATGAGAAGGGATAGGAGAGCAGAGTAGAGGAGGAATTCCAACAGAGATTTACCTAAGATGGTAACTATGGGATCCCTTCTGTTCGATCCTCCAGAAGTCGGTTCCTCTAAAAAAGTTGGGCACAGCAATATGGATTGAACTGGAGGACATTAAGTAAAATCATCCGGGCATAGAAAGACAAATATTGCATGTTTCCTCTCATAACTGTGAACTAAAAAAATTTGATCTCACAAAGGTAGTGAATACATAGTGGTTGCTAGAGGATGGGAAGGATAGTCGAGTGGGTGAAGAGGAGTAAAGAGAGACTGGTTAATGGGTACCAAAACACTGTTAAATAGAAGGAATAAGACCTAGTACTGGGTGACTATAGATAACAATAATGTATTATATATTTCAAAATAACCACAAAATTTAGAATGTTCCCACCAAAATGAAATGATAAATGTCTGAAGTGATGAATACCCTAATTACCCAGATTTGATCATTACACATCATATGCTTGTATCAAATATCACAAGTACCCCATAAATAGATACCACTATTATGGATCCATAAAGACTTAAAAGAAATACAAAATAAAATAAAAAGGTTGAAGAAAAGATGAGAAAAACATAATGCAAGCAAGAGCCCTAGAAGGACGGCAAGAGCTGGATGGGTCTGAAAATTCATCTCTTGATACCACAGAGACGCATTTGTACAGAGGCCACCCTAGGTGATGTCTGAGTCTCTGTGGACACAAGTCCTGCTGAAAAGAGGTTCTACTGAAAGGGCAAGGACAGTGGAGCAATGAAGATGACCCAGATGAGGAATGACATCAAAAAGCATAATAAACTAAGCATCAACTGAACCCAGGCCCCGTCCACACTCAGCTCCACACAACCTTACCCTTCCCCACCTGCAACAGACTCAGTTCCGCAAACATGTGGATTCTGGAAGGTTCTCATGTCTTCCATTTATTTTCTCTCAAATTTTAGAAATCTCCTTCTTTAATTAGCTCATTAACCTCTCATGGCAAGAATTTGAAACACAAATTTATATTCAGATTCCTATTTTCATTAGGGAAGCAAGAAGTTAGAGCTCAGCACACCATGAAGTAGAGACAGGGATAGAGACGTCCCCACCCCACATCTCTGGAACAGGGAAGATGATCATGATCAGGGAAGGCAACAGGTCAGGGTGGGAAAGGGAATCAGTGTGGACACAGGAGTGGGCTGATCTTCTCCCCTCATCCTCACATTATCCTAACAGAAATGCAAACCCATTCAAATGTCCTTTGCAGAAAGAGAAGTCAGAGGCTCATGAAGTCACAAAGGAGAGGCGTGAACACATCTTCTATCACTCAGTCCCACAAAAGGCAGCTGAGTCACGCTATAGAAGAAAAGAGTCATGAACAAACTCAGATCAGACATGGTAAGTGGGGACCTTCTGAACAACCCACCACACACTCAAAATGTCCCCCAAATCTCCACAGTCCAGTTGTGTCCCTTCTTCCCTACTCCCACCTCCACCCCATTAGGCCCCCAGGGTCACACCTTTACAAGCCGTGAGAGACACATCAGAGCCCTGGTCACTGTCACCACCTGGGGTGGAACAAAACAGGACCTGGTCAGAGTCCACAGGAGATGTGGTACAGGAGAAATTATGGGGTGGGTGAGCTCCCCCATGGGCGCCTATCCACACTGTTCCAAGAACCTGAGGGATCATGGCTGCCACACTTACTTGCAGCCTGAGAGTAGCTCCCTCCTTTTCCACCTGTGGGAAGAAAATGTCCAGTGAGAGGACAGGGAGGAGGCAGGCCCATGAGGTCCTACAGGAAGCCTTAGTATTGGACCCCAGAGAAGTTTCCCAAACTGTGACTATAGACCCACGGCTGCATCAGGAAACAAAAGGAAAGGAAATGTATAAGAACTGGTCCAACTCCCCCCTTGGAGGTCTGTCCTCAGCAGGGATCTTCCCTGCAACCTATTGGGAATCAGGTCCCAAACACCACAATCATCAAAGTGATTTATTTACACGTGTGCTTTGCATAAAAGTAAATGAGTATTGGCACGTAGGGCCCCAGGTTGGATAAGCACCTATGCGCGGACGGTACTTCCCAGTAATGAGGTCAGACACACGTCTACCTAAAATTTGAAATTCCCAGAGAGACAAGAAAACCCAGATCCCACCCCTCACCCCTTCCCTACCTGAGCTCCTCTTCCTCCACATTACAGCTCCAATAACCACAGCTCCAAGGAGAACCAGAAACAGGCCAGCAATGATTGCCACGATGAGGATGATGGTCTGGGAAGATGGCTCTGGGAAAGGAAGGGAAGGTGAGGGCCCCTGACCCCCAGGCCTCAGCCCTGACCCTGCTGAGGGTCTCCAGAAGGGCGCCTGCTTTCCCTGAGAAGAGACTCGACCCCCACCCCCCTCCTTACCCCACTTCAGGGTGCGGGGCTCTGGCAGCCCCTCGTGCTGCACATGGCACGTGTATCTCTGCTC